TACGTCTGTCTTACAAACTCTAAATCACAATCACTAGATGCAAATATATATAATCTATCCTAAACTAACTTTTATATGCTGATGAATAAAAAGTAAACTTCTTTATATCTCCTTTCAATTATCTCCAAACATCTTGCATGTCAGTTCTATTTATCAGTTTATTTCATATGGTAATATTATACCTTCTCTCATCCTTGGTAGGGTTCAACTTATCTTCCTCTTCATCCCTTAACATTTATCTTTATTTATCAAGACTTTAAACCATTCCATTTTAGCATCACATCTCCATTTGGTCCCATACTGCAGCAAAGCAACACCCAATAGTAACAAATCCTCAGACTTTAACAATTTTCCTTAAAAAAAACAACAACAACCTAACCCATAAACCCTCACCACTACATTTAATAATATTCCCCCCCCTTTTTGGCCTACCTGGCCAAGGTTAAGTGCAAAATCCTGCACCTTGGAAAAAGACACCAATTGCACAGTTACAAGATGGGAGATAGTTGGCTCAGCAAAACTACGAGCGAGAGGGATGTTGGAATTGTTGTAGATTGCAAGCTAAATGTGGACCAACAGTGGCTTTTTATTAATACAGGTTCATCAACTCTTCTTTCCTTTTCTCCTTTCATGTGTTCACCATTTTCAATACATTTATGGACTTTCAATATCTTTAAATTAAGTACTGTACAGTGGAGGAAATTTGCAAGTAAACCATAGAACTTTCCAGTAAAACCTCAATTCTAATCAAACCCTCTCCTTGTATTTCTGAGTAAGCTGGCTGGATACGTCAGTGGTTTAAATATCTGGTTGTAGAACCAGAGGTTCCCAGCTGTGTCTCCCAAGGGTAAGGTCAGCCTGTGTGGCCTTTGGGAAACTGCAGGGTCCCAGAAGCAAGGAATGGGGAATGACTTTTGAGTATTCTCTACCTAGAAACCCCTGAAAAAAGGGTTGCCATCAGACAGAATTGACTTGATGGCCCATGTTTAATATTATTTTGGATAGTGGTTAACATGAATCAATTATATTTTCCCATCCCTGTCCCTTTGGAAGTATCAATTCAGGCAAGGGGAGTCCATGCTGTTTGCACAATATGGCTAATTTTTCAAGTGTGGCCAGTAAAGCCTTCAGGAGACATATGCCTTTCAAAGGAATCAAAGACAGAGCAAACTCTTTGGTTTGACCTCCAGTTAGATTCTGCTCTGTGCTACATTCTCAAGATATCTTCTTTTTTCTCTATCAGGTAACAAAGACGATAGCCAGAATTATACAGAGCCACTTCTTCTGGCCCTGAAAAGAGTCAAGTGTGAAGCTGGAAAGAAAAGCTTAGAAAAACCCATGAGCTAAAGGAGAAATGGCTTAAATGCCTGAAGTGTGGAGACAGCTTCAGACCAGTGCCGCCAGTTCAGATTAAAGAATCGCCCCGGGGAGAAATCATACAAAAATGAAGGAATGTAAAAAGAGTTTCAGCAGGAGAAGAAATCTGCATTCACATCGAAGAACTCACATAGGGAAGAAACTGTACAAATGCATGGAATGTGGAAAAAGCTTCAGTGATAATGGTCATCTTTGGTCACATGGAAGCACCCACACTGGGGAGAAACCACATAAATGCATGGAATGTGGAAAGAACTTTAGTCAGATAGGTCAGCTAAGGGTACATCAAAGGACCCACACTGGAGAGAAACCACATAAATGCATGGAATGTGGAAAGAGCTTTAGTTGCAGTGGTCATCGTAGGTCACATCAAAGGACTCACACCGGGGAGAAACCACATAAATGCATGGAATGTGGAAAGAGCTTTAGTCACAGTGGTCAGCTTAGAGTACATGAAAGGACGCACACTGGGGAGAAACCACATAAATGCATGGAATGTGGAAAGAGCTTTAGTCGCAGTGGTGACCTCAGATTACATCAAAGAACTCACACTAGGGAGAAACCATAGAAATGCATGGAATGTGGAAAGAGCTTTATTCAGAGCTCCTGATATATCTGTCATGGATCAGATTATGTGGTTTAAATCATGTACTGATGATGGGATATATAGTTGTGAACCATGTAAAATGGATTCCATATTGGTTCTGTGTATGAAATATTTTTATTTTGGTAATGTATTTCCAGAGGGCTGTGGGAATATTTTTACTTTAGGCCAGGGCAAGCCAATACAAGAGAAGAGCAGACTTTTTTGTGGTGTAGAAGGCAATGGACTGAGAAAAACAACACCTGTTTCTCACGAGAACAGAAGGAGGGATTTCTTCTATAACCTTATGCCGTGATTGGATGACAGCGTGAGAGATGAATGAGAAGGGAGGTTCCAAGAAGATTGAAAAAGGAACATTTACTGTGTGCTATTTGCTATGCTTTTGCATCAAACTGACTTTATTCTGTAAATCTATATTTTTTTCAATAACAACAATAATTATAAAATCTTTTGGTTTCTTGAGAAATGAAGCTGTTATAGCTATACCCTGAGGGGAAAGCAAGGCCACATTAAGCTACTGAGTCCTGCCTTATTGAGCCAAGTAGATCTTAGGACTACAAAGCTCATGTGTAACTTCCTACTGAACTTTTTAAAGGGTCAGCAAGTACCTTTTTAGGGCAGACTTGTAAAAAGTTTGTTGTATACCCTGGCTGAGGTCATTCAGGACTCAACCCAGTTCTCCTACACAGGAAACTGGGTCATGACATGGTGGCAGCGGTGGGATGAATCTACGTGCTGTTAGCTCCTTGTACTGACATTGTTGGCATTATACGTACAGTACTATTTTGTTTTAGTAACGAGGCAGGAAGGTATTCCATGTGCCTTGCTACTTTTTTCTTTTCTGATACTTTTTCCTTTTCTGGTTCAGCAGCTTAACAGAGACTATGTGTCTTGCTGTTTGATCCTAGGCTTACGAAATAGCAGGGAACATGGACACTAAGGAAAGTGACTCACATGCCTCGTGCTTGTCAGTTTAGGATTGCCTAGAGACAAAGTGAAGTGGATAAAACACTTAGGAGCTCCTGTATTCTGTCGACAGACACTGTAAGCAGTAAGCTTTTAAAGAAAGCACTGCTTTTTTGTTTTGGTTGTTAAGTAAAACCTGGAGTGTGCTCTTTGAAAAAGAGACCTCATGGGGATGGCTGTAAACTGTCAATAGCCAAATTAAGAGTTCAGTTTGATGTTTTCAAGGTTTGCAGACCAGAGTGACAGATTCCAGATGAGAAATGGCTAAGGTAAACTCATCAAATTGAGGAAGGTTCACACAAAGCTATTTCTGTGTTCCTTTTTCTTTTTGCATTGTTCTTGTTTCTGCTAAATTCAGGTTCTCCAAGTGTCACTAGAGTGACCAAGTATCTTAACCTACCTGCTTTGCTCTCAAAGAGTAGCAAAGGTGTAGGGAAAGATTTTTTTCCTTTGGGCTAACAACTTTTTGTACAAAGTGACAGGCCAAGAGATTAATGAGGGAGCTAGAGAGAGAGGAAAGATTCTAGGAAGACAAATTTTTATCTCGTTATGACAGAGAGGAGTCTTCTCCAGAATCAGAGCAAGACTGGGAGAAAACATTTATGGATGATTTTTACTTTGAGGAAGATGAGGAAGAGATGTCACAACTTTCAGGATGTCATTCATTAATGACAGAAGCCTCAGAGAATAGTCAATCAGTGGACTTTTAATAAAACAGGGATGTCTGTGAAAGGCGCACAAGACAGTCCCAGAGACATTCCAAATATGCAAGGAATTTCAGCTAAACCTGATAACTCTTTCACACATATGCTGAAAGGCTTTTTTCCTGTACAGCATGGAGCCAGAGGAAATGGCGCTGCATGAAGAGAACTTTTTCCCATGCTGGACAACATTCCAGATTGTGGAGCTAAACCAAGGAAAGCCGAGTTGGACACCTGCAGAGAGCAAGTGGATCTACGTCCGGAAGACACTTACTCCAGCTGAAAGGTGAGAAACCGTGGGTGTACTAGTCGGGAAGAAATCCTAACAGAAGATAGAGGGGAGGATTCTTTTCCCCAGGGGCCTAAAAACTCTCAGATGCCCAGGGAACTGCAGAAATTATGTCCAGATGACTGCAGGAGAGCTCAGAACCCAGCAATTAGTGATCCAATAGAGGAACTGAGTACATTAAAAACAGTGGCCTCTGTGTGGAGTTACTTTCCTACTGAATGTTGCCAGTTTAACAATCAACAGAGGGCTGAAGAGAGAAATTTAGCAGAGGAGATGTTGCTGACAGAATTTCCACAATGAGAATTTTGCCAGAAAGATGTTACTTTGGGGCAAGTTTCACTTAAACCCATTGCGTCTCAAATCCCTGACCAAAAAGAACTGATTAACATTGACTCAATAAAGTTAAAAGGGATTCCTATAGAAAAAGATCAGCGAAGGGTTAAGCGGATGCTGAATGCTGCAGGAGCTGAAGGAGGCAGGGGACGAGAGGGCAAGCCTGCCGTCTCTCATTCCTTTCAGTGAAGGGACAGCGTTTGCAAATGAAGCAGACTCATCCAATTTAACTGTTATGAAGATGCAGATTTAGTAGCCATGACGCATGAGAGAAAATTGCAGATGAAGTATAAGTCTGGAGATGAATGTTTGTTTAAGACAGTGCATTTATCGGAAAGGAAGGAATTGCGGTCAGAGTTGGAAGCTCAGAAGCAAAATTTTAAAGATGAGGATGATGTGATGAGGATGATGTGATGAATTTGGTTATGAAAGCTAGAAAGTGGTATACTGATGGGACATGTAGTTATGAAGTTAGCCTAAAAGAATCCATTGTGGTCTCTGTGTGCTTGAAAGTGGAAAATTCCAAAAGGCAGTTTTGCTTCACAGCTTTGCTTCACAGAAACTGGTCAGGCTGACCGTTATCTAGTTGCCTAGGTAACTGAGGCCTAGTCAGGTAGAGAAAGACATAACATTCCAGGAGCTTGTAATAATAACATCTGGAGTTTCATGAGAAGATGGGGCGGGACAAGTTACTTTTTTCCTTACCCCTGATTGGTTGTTAGCTGTGAAGAAGAAGGCAGGAGAAGTTCCAGCAGAGAGAAGGGAGAGTTAAGATGGAAGACGGCTGAAAGACACAGAAGGGACCTTTTTCCTTTTATTGGATTTTAAAAGAGGACTTTACCTAATGGACTGATGGATTTTGGATTTTCCAGAAGATTGGTATGTTTTTGATTGAACTATGGACAATGGGATTTACAGTATTATTTTAAGATGTAGATTTTTGCTTAAGTTAGAGGGGAAGCTTGCCTTTCCCCAATTTCATTAGTTAGTAAGTTTGTTATGTTTGTTTGTTCTAGGAGGAGTCCAGTTTCTTGTCTAACTGGATGGGATGGAAATGTGTACATATATGCCTTGCTTTGCATAAACTTTATTCTTTCAGAACTTTATTTTTCTAATAAAACAAAATATTCTTAAGATCTGGAGTTTGGCTTCTTGAATAGAACAAATGCTACAATTATCTTTCCTAATTGGTTATTCTTTACAAGGCCACGGAAAAGTAACGCTACCAAGGGTCCAGTATATTCCTGAATGCTAGGAGAATTTTATATCTCTAGAGCTCATGTGTATATCTTGGTTCTCAAAGAAATCGGGCCAGACCCGGTGAATGAGTGAAGGTACTGCCTTGGGGAAAACACATGGACCTGGTTTTGTCTATTTAAGGAGTTTCCTCACTCAGAATCCTCTCTGTCCCGTAGCAAACAGTTTCTTGGGAAACTGGCATTGCAACGGACAGTGAGACAGGGCTTTCTATGGCAGAGGAGCCTTCCATCTTAAAAAACCCTTTGCAGCAGCAGAGTCATGTTTTTCCTAAAGCGGAAGGGTCTGGTGTGATTCATGGATTGCTGCCTTGTTGTGGCGAAGGGGATTGAGTAATTCAGAGAAACTATGGGCTATGCCCTGCAGGGACACCCAAGACGGACATAGTGGAGAGTTCCAACTAAATGCAATCCACCTGGAGCAGGAACTGGCAAGCCACTCTAGTATCTTTGCCAAGAAAACCCCATGATCAGAAACAAAAGGCGAAAAGGTATGATGCTGGAAGATGGGCCCCTCAGGTTGGAAGGCATCCAACATGCTACTGAGGAAGAGCGGAGGACAAGTACAAGTAGCTCCAGAGCTAATGAAGTGGTTGGGCCAAAGCCGAAAGGACGCTCAGCTGTGGACGTGCCTGGAAGTGAAAGGAAAGTCCGATGCTGCAAAGAAGAATACTGCATAGGAACCTGGAATGTAAGATCTATGAACCTCGGTAAGCTGGATGTGATCAAACAGGAGATGGCAAGAATAAACATTGACATCCTGGGCGTCAGTGAACTAAAATGGACAGGTATGGGTGAATTCAATTCAGATGATTATCATATCTACTACTGTGGGCAAGAATCCCATAGAAGGAATGGAGTAGCCCTCATAGTCAACAAAAGAGTAGGAAAAGCTGTAATGGGGTATAATCTCAAAAATGATAGAATGGTGTCAATACGAATCCAAGGAAGACCTTTCAACATCACAATAATCCAAGTTTATGCACCAACCACCAATGCTGAGGAGACTGAAACTGACCAATTCTATGAAGACTTAGAACACCTTCTAGAACTCACCCCAAAGAAAGATGTTCTTCTCATTCTAGGGGATTGGAATGCTAAAGTAGGGAGTCGAGAGATAAAAGGAACAACAGGGAAGTTTGGCCTTGGAGTTCAAAATGAAGCAGGGCAAAAGCTAATAGAGTTTTGTCAAGAGAACAAGCTGGTCATTGTCAGCTATCAGCTCCCCAAGAGGATGCTTGACCGGTCGGACAGAGAGTAATTAGGAGATTATACACCCTAAAATGTGCTGAGAGAGTTCTAGAGCTCAGCTAGGCGTGTCAATCCTCCCTCTTACAAGTCTGCCCTAATAAGAACACTCTTGTACCTTTGAATATTACTGATAGAAAACCATGTGGGCGTTGTAGTCCTTAGACATATTATGCACCACAGGCAGGACTCCTTAAGTATGCAAGGCCGAGGCAAGCACCATCAGTTGACCTATGACAAGTTTACTGTTCAGGAAACCAATTGATTTTTATAATCATTATTTTATTAAAGAAAAAGTAAGCTCCTTAAAGAAAAAGTCAAATTATGCAAAAGCAAACAAATAAACATTATGCTGGTTAATTACAAATCAGTAGTGAAATAAAGAAACAATGAAAAATACATGTGTCCAAAAACATTAAAATAATTCAAAAAGACAAGAAAAAGAATAAAAACAGTTCCAATAAGGTAATCCATCAGGAAAAAAGAGAGGTTACTTACCTGTAAATATGGTTCTTCAAGTGATACTCTGTGAATTCACACATTTGGGTTAGATCCGTGCCTGCGTGGTCAGTAGTGAAATAAAGAAACAATGAAAAATACATGTGTCCAAAAACATTAAAATAATTCAAAAAGACAAGAAAAAGAATAAAAACAGTTCCAATAAGGTAATCCATCAGGAAAAAAGAGAGGTTACTTACCTGTAAATATGGTTCTTCAAGTGATACTCTGTGAATTCACACATTTGGGTTAGATCCGTGCCTGCGTGGAACCTTCAGAATCTTCTCGAGCTTTTGATCTGAAAGACAGATAATACAGATTGCCCCCTACGTGCATGTGTCACCTCTCTTTCCCACTCAGTTCCACATGTCCGCCATTGCCAAAGCTAGAGCTAGAGCTCACCATAAGCCAGGCAGTGACGGACAGTGGGGAGGACGGGAGGGTATGCGTGAATTCACAGAGTATCACTTGAAGAACCATATTTACAGGTAAGTAACCTCTCTTTCTTCAAAGTGAACTCTGTGAATCACACATTTGGGTGACTGGCAAGCTAACTTACCGGAAGGTGGGCCGTCACTGTAAGACTGATGTCAAAACGGCCCTTCCAAAGGATGTTTCTCTCTTGGCCCAAAGGTCGAGTCTGTAGCGGGTGATGAATGTCGACGCCCTGGGCCACGTCGATACCCTACAAATGTCGAGGATGTCCACACCCCGAAGTAAGGCAATAGAAGTTGAAACCGACCTGGTGGAATGTCCCCTAAGACCGTCAGGCACATCCTTATTAGCTAGGCGATAAGCTAAAGAGATGGTTGAAACAATCCATCTCGACAACGTGGGCGATGATGCAGCAAAACCCTTGTGTGAACCGCAGTAACACAGGAAAAGTCTATTCGACTTCCTAAAGTCTTTAGTTCTGGAGATATAATAAGACAATGCCCTCTTAACATCTAGTGAATGTAGCATCCTCTCAATGTCAGTAGAAGGATCAGGAAATAGTATAGGTAATGAAATGGGCTGGTTCAGATGAAAATCTGTAACAACTTTAGGTAAGAACGAAACATCTGGAAACAGTAGAACTTTATCTTTGAAGAACTGTATATACGGGGCATCAGAACGCAATGCTGCCAGCTCACACGCTCTCCTAGCAGAAGTAATAGCTACCAGAAACAAGGTTTTCAGGGATAAAAACTTGAGATCACAGGAAGAGAGAGGTTCAAACGGATGCCTCATGAGTGCATTCAGAACTTGAGTCAAGGACCATTGTGGGATTGGTGGCTTGACAGGTGGACGAGTATTGATGAGCCCTTTCAGAAAGGCTTTGAAGGTTGGGTGGGAGAATAGACGTGAAGCATCAGAATCTTTTGGCTGGAAAGCAATTATTGCAGCCGCATAAACTTTTAAAGTTGACACCGAAAGACCAATGTCAAACAAGTGTCTCAGATAAACCAGCAAGGTTCGTAATGAAACTGGAGAGGCCTGTAGGCCATTGGAAGAGGCAAAATGAAGAAAATTGTTCCACTTATAATTGTATAGTGTTTTAGTAGAGGGTTTCCTGGATCTATCTAATATTTCTTTAATCTTCGGCAGATCCTCCAAGCGGTCAGATGGAGGGACTCCAAGTCTGGGTGAAGAATCGTGCCTGCATCCCTCGAGAGCAAGTCCGGTACCAACGGAAGCCTGAGTACATCCATCGCCATCTCTCTCAGGGCTGAGAACCACGGCTGACATGGCCAATACGGAGCTACAAGAATAGCTGAGGATCTGTGCTGAGTCAGCCTGACTATTGACCGCTGGATCAGAGGGATCGGTGGGAAAAGGTAAATTAGATGTTTTCTCCAGGGAACCATGAACGCATCCCCCAGGGAGGATGGTCCCTTCCCTGCTCGGGAGGCGTAAACAGGACATTTATTGTTTTCGTGTGAGGCGAACATGTCGATGGATGGTCGCCCCCACCTGGTGCACAACATCTGGAACACTTTGTCGTTCAGTTCCCACTCATGAGACTGTCCTTTCATACGACTCAGAATGTCCGCTAGGTAATTTTCAGAGGTCGATATATGAATTGCCATCGGGAAAATGTGATGGACACAGCACCATTCCCAGAGGTGCACAGCGAGATAAAGAAGGGATAGAGACTTTGTTCCCCCTTGCTTGTTGATATAATAGAGGGTCGTGATGTTGTCTGTTACAACCTGTACACCACGACCCTGTATCAATGGTAAGAAAGCCTTGAAGGCTTTGATTACTGCTAACATCTCCAGGTGGTTTATGTGGAGACCCTTCTGACATGGTGACCAAAGGGCGTTTATGGTATGCCCGTTGCAATGAGCCCCCCAACCCATGGGGCTCGCATCCGTCGTAACCTGCGCAGACAGCTGAAGAGGTTGGAAAGGTCGGCCCAGAAGGAGGTGAGGGCAAAAACCCCACCAGATCAACTGCTTTGCCAGTTCTGGAGAGACTTCTAGCTGTTTGGTCGGATGGTTGAGCAAGGGATTGAAGTGATGCATTAGCCATGCTTGTAAGGACCTCATCTTCAGCCTGGCATGTGGTAAGGCGGCCATTGTTGAGGCCATAAGGCCTAGCAGATGTTGAGCCTGATGAGCTGACACTAGTGCATGAGGCCGGAAACCTTGTAGGGCCAACTGTAACTTTCGAATGCAGTCCGAAGGTAAGAAGAGCCTTGCTCTTTTTTAATCCAGTGTTGCCCCTATGTAGGACATCACCCGAGAAGGTTTGAGGGTGGACTTCTCCCAATTTACAGAGAGACCTAGGTTCTGGAGTGTGTGTAGAGTAAGGTCTGTATCCTGTGTGGCTTTTCGTTTGGATGGCGACACTATGAGCCAATCGTCGATGTAGGGGAATATCTTTACTCCCTGAAGATGGAGAAATGCGGCAACCGGAGCCATGCACTTTGTAAAAGTATGTGGCGCCGTCGCTAAACTGAAGGGTAAGGCCGTATACTGGAATGCCGTGTTGTTGACGATAAACCTCAGGTATTTTCTGTGATGCTGGTGGATCGTAATATGAAAATATGCATCCTTGAGGTCTATGACTGTAAACCAGTCTCCTTTCCTTAACAGGTGGACGATGGACTCCAACGTGACCATCCGGAACCATTGAGGATGAAGGTAAGTGTTGAGGTTTTTCAAGTCCAGGATGGGCCGCAACCCTCTGTCCTTTTTGGGAACGGTGAAATAACGGGAGTAGAACCCCCTTGGAAGATCCTGAGGGGAGACCACCTGTACAGCATTCTTTTGAAGTAGAGCGAGGACCTCCTCCTCTAGGATGGGGTTGGAAGTTGTTATCTTGACAAATCCCAGAGGAGGAAGTTCTAGAAACTCTAGGCAGTATCCGAATTGTATGATGCTCAAGACCCAAGCGTCTTGTGTGATGGTTTGCCAGTTTTTGAGAAATGGAGAAAGACGAGTCCGATAATCGAGGCACTGATTTGGGACAGAGTCAAAGAAACTGTTTGGATTTCTTAGCAGAAGGGCGAAAGGTTTGCGTTTGTGTGATGATTGTTGTTTATATGCAGGTACTACGGCAGATTGCTGAGAAGACCTGTTACTAGGTGCCCTGAAAGTCCGGTAAGCCTGAGAACTTTGTGGATGATACTGCGACTGAGGAACCTGCCGTTGCCACTGCTGCTTCTGGAACCGAGGTTGCTGGTGTATAGTGTATGATTTCGCTGTCTTCTTACTTTCATGTATTGTTTTCAATGATTCATCTGTTTTTTCATGAAATAAACCTTTAGTGTCAAAGGCTTGCTCTTCAATTTGTTTCCTTACATCCTCAATAATTCCAGAAGCCCTAAGCCAAGCGTGCCTACGCAATGTAATGGCAGAGTTAAGAGACTTAGTTGCGACATCTGTGGCATGTCTAGCTGCCAAGGTTTGATGCTTCGATAAAGTCATGGCTTCAGCATGGGCGTTCAGACATTCCTGCCTAATCTCCTGAGGTGCTGCCTGAAGTGCCGGGAGTACCTTGTTCCACAGGTGCTTTTGGTATGCTCCCATTATGGCTTGATAATTACAAATCTTCAGAAGGAACGATTGAAAAGAATAAAGTTTTCTGCCCAGTACGTCTATTTTCCTACCTTCTTTGTTGGTAGGGGTGACATGAGGTCTACCAGAGGCCTTAGACGCGTTGGCATGCACTATAACAGAATTAGGGGCAGGATGTTTAGAAAGAAAGTTGATCTCATCCCCATGAACTCTATACATATTCTCAATCCTGCGTGAGACAGCGAGAGGAGTGGCAGGCTGGGAACAAGCGTCCATGATCAGATTATACAACTTGGAAACGTAATTAAGGCTCATGGGTTGTGAAGATTCTTTATCAATCTCCCCAAAGATTGGGTCGTCTGTGGGAGGGGGTGGCACCTGAGTCTGCATATTCAAAGCCTGAGCCATCCTAGCAATCATCTGAGAATATGATGAAAAATCCTCAGTAGGGGAAGCAGGGTGTGGGTTCCCCGTATCCGACTCAAATGAGTCATGGTTGTTGTGGGTTTTTCGGGCTTCTTGGTCGTGTTCTGAAAGTGGTTCTTCCTAACGTTTCGCCAGTCTCTGTGGCCGGCATCTTCGGAGGACAGCAAACTGTGCTCTGGGAGGCTGAGAGTGGGTGGAATATTTATGGTTGTGAGAAGGCTAGTTGGTGAGGTAGGCTATTGTCCTAATCAGGAGATGGTTGATTGTGTTTTGTTATGGCTGCATTGTTTTGATCAAGAGGCGGGATTATCTGTCCCTGTGGCTGATGGGTGTCGTTAGCTGGTTTTTTGTGTGCAGTAATCCCTTGACCTTGTGGCTGGGTGGAGTTCGTTGACCTTTTGCACTCTGTGTTTTTGAGAGCTGGGAGCTGAGATGAGATGAATTTGGCCCAGCTCCGGGAGGCAATGGAAGACAGGAGGGCCTGGTGTGCTCTGGTCCATGGGGTCATGAAGAGTCAGACACAACTAAACGACTAAACAACAACAACTGGTGTGATTTCAAAGGGAGTAAAAGTGATTTGCAGCTCAGAGACTGGACCCAGTAATGTTTTGCCAAGCTCAGAAATCGTTCCAGCCATTCAAAAGTTTCATGGTACAAGGCCGAAATTGTCAGCAAAGCATAAAGCTGATTTATTGAAGCAAACGGAGGGGAAGTTTCCTCGTGTTATTGTTCCTGAAAAGTTTGTTTGCATAATGATGTTACATATGCCCTGTATATGATTATGATTTTGATTATTTTTTGATTATTTTTTGATCTGTTTATATTAAGTTACACAGGTTTTTTCTCCCCCCCTTTTTTCTTTTTTCCTCTCCCTTTTTGCTTTTTTCTCTTCCCCTTCTCCTTCCTTTCCTTTTCTCCACCCAGTCATGGAATGGAAGGCCTGCCTTCCCAGCGTGGGGCCCCAAAACATCTCTGTGGTCACGGGTAGGGGAAGATATGGCGTTGGCGCCATCCCTGCACGTGTTAGAAGAACGACGGACAGATGCTTAAAACCTGTTCATTGTTCTGAGATGGTGTCCAACCCCCAGTATCGAGGTAGCTAGTCCAGTCGTCCATCCACTCTGCGCCTGGTGTTGTTGAATGCC